TGACGCCAAAATACACCTTAAAAGTCCCATTTTATTTTCTTAAATCCCATTATATTTTTTAATCCAAGGGCGAATTTACGGCAGAATTTGGTCCCTCAAATCACCGGTACGGTGCTCAAATAAGGGACACGTGAGCTTTGATTCTAACCGGATACATTGCACTGGGTCGGGGAGATCGTTTGCTAAACTTCCATGTATCTTTTGTCCAATGGGTACAAAATGTACCTGTACTTCGAACATTCGCAAGTTTTCCTAGGTAGTGCGAGACAGCTTTGTCTTTTGACCTATTAGTTTTGTGCTGACCTCTTCTCCGCGTCTTGATGTTTTGTTTTGCTTGTCATAATACTCACTGATTGATGACTTTGTTTAGATTTTGAGTTACAACTCGGCCACGACCTTTGCTTTTACCGTGAAACATGAGGAAGTTTACGTCAATTGACGGACATTGCATTTTTTAAAAACTAATGAAGCACACTGTCTATCATCCCCATTTTTTTTTGCTGATTTTATTCTGAAAAATTCGACCGTCCGAAAATGCACCTTAATTTTGACTCTAAAAACACGTCACATTTCTAACACAAATTATTTAAAACCAGTCGAAATTTTGGAGTTTTTACGGTACTTTAGATATCAGTGTGAAAGATTAAAATTGGTTAATTATGCAAATTAGGTAATTAATATGTACAGATTTTAACCCACAATTATTCAGGTCTGTCTATTGTCCTACAGCATCCATGTACATTCATTGATATGTGATGTATAGTACCTGAGATATCAGTGTGAAAGTTGGTTAATTATGCAAATTAGGTGATTAATATGCACAAATATTTACCGGAAACTAATTGGGTCTGCATAATTCTAGATTCATTGAAATATGATGATTAGTACTTTAGATATCAGTAGAAAAGCTGAAAATTAATTATGCAAATTAGGTAATTAATATGCACAATTATTTACCCTAAAACTAATCAGGTCTCTGCATAGTCCTAAAGGATCTATGTACCAAGTTTCATTGAAATGCGATGATTAGTACTTGAGATACCCGTGGAAAAGCTGAAAATTAACTAATTATGCAAATTAGGTGATTAATATGCACAAATATTTATCGAAAACAATCAATCTCTGCATAGTCCTTGAGTATGTAAGTACCAAGTTTCATTGAAATGTAATGCTAACTACTTATATCAAATGCTGAAAATTAATTAATTATGCAAATTAGGTAATTAATATGTACTGATATTACCATAAAAACTATCAGGTCTGTGCAGTGTCGTATGACATCTATGTACCAAGTTTCATTGAAATGTGAT